TATACTCCTTGAAAGTCTTTGGAATAGAATCTCACTTGATAAGTCACCATTAAATTGTAACTTTATAAATAGAGGATTTTACTTGCAGTCAGAGTCTCCGATGTTTTCATATGTTTCTTTATGAAACTACTCGGATAACCAGCCCATCTCCATCAAGGAATCGTGAATATATTCAAATTCCTTCTGTAAGAGGTCATCCGTACATATCTTTCTTGCTCTGCTCGCAAGACATTTAACAACATTCCTTTTATATTTAATGGGCAACGTAACTAAGGAAGTATGTGTATTGCCCTGTGAAAGTGCTTTGAAAACAATATTGTTCGCTTAAATGTATATATATATATATATTGCTACCGCCAGCCATAAAATAATCTTTAGTCTTTTTATGTCTAAAATTTCTGTAAATTGAAGCATGTGACCCAAACGCTAATTGTTCAAAATCAGTGTTAAAATCAACCACATAACCCTTTCCATTGATGTGTTCTTCAACAGGCATCAATTTCCAGTGTAAGGAAGCAATGAAAGAAACCTTACCCAATCGAGTCTGAAGACAGATGTCGGCCATCAGCTCTTAACACTTTGATCTATAATGATGCATTTTCAACCCTTTCATACACCTTTAGACTTTACATATATGTATATATATGAAAGTATTAAGTAAGCATGTGATCACAGTGTTCAAAGTGTATGGCGTAAATACACTACACATTTGAGACAAATTACGTCAACTCATTATTTTATAGACAATCATGGACGTCACGCAATATGTCATTACTAGTATGTGAGGTTACGTTATGATAATACTAATACCTTTGTGTCTGTTCGCTGAAAATGTTTGTCACATAAATACGACTATTTATTTTGACACCCCATAACTAATCTGCTATTCTACGTTAAAAATGTATCTGCCGCATAACTGGCCTTTATTGTAACGACAACAAATATTATTTAAAACAATTAGTTCCCTTTATGAATTTAGATAAAGCAATAAGAAGACGTAATTTGTCTGAATCGTGTAATGCGTATTTGCGCAACCCATTTCGAACAATCTGATCACACACGGACTTGTCATAGGAATAAATATGAAATTAATAAAGAGGTAAGAGGTGAGAAAATAGACTTAGGTCAAGTTAAAAGGACATATTGAAGGTCGAAATAACAATGAAGACCACTAGACCAAATAACAGAGGTAATAGTACATGTGCTATGGTTTCATAACAAAATTTACCAAGGAAGGTTTAATGTGATGACGAATTGTTTTTGAACACATAAAGGTGGCTTAAACTTTCTAATTGCTAAGGCTTCCACAAACTTTAGGATACGCCCCAAACACGTTTTAATAGATAGGCTTAAAAGATCTGTTAACGGCATATTCCTAAATGGCTCCAGCAACAAATGGAATCTTCAGAACCTATTAAAGGTGAGCACAGGAGACCTAGCTCTTCTATTGTGAAACATATTATAGAGACAGGACATAGAATTGACGTTTACACATCTTTTAAACCTATCTATAAAACGTGTTTGGGGAGTATCCCAAGGTTTGTGGAAGCCCTAGTTGGCAACTGGGAAGTTTAAAGCAGTTTTATGTGTTCAAAGCAACAATTCGTCATTACCCTAAATCTTCTTTGGCAAACTTTGTTTTGTTTTAGTTTTGACTTACCATCTTCAAATGACATTAATTTTGTCAAATATGCTGACGACCTGACAGAATCTTTGCCTGTCAAATGTCAAAGTGACTGCTTTAAACTTAATGGCTTTCTGTCAGAAATCAGCCAGTGGTCCAAGGAAAACGGTCTTACCTTAAACCCCTCCAAATGCCAAACAGTCAATTTCACCTTCAGGCATAAATCCGACCTAAACAAACTGGTTGGCTCTCATGAGGTATGCAAAATAGGTGGAACCGAAATAGAAACCAAGTTGGAAATTAAATACCTAGGCGTCATGCTACCTGCTGATCTCTCCTGGTCATCTCATATCTTAGCGATTTCTAAGAAAATATTCCGTCTTACCTTCTACATTAAGAGGTTAAGACATTCTGGAATAACCTAACCCTTACTCTTACGATTCGTTAACTCTTGCATCCTGCTTATTATTCTCTATTGTTCCCCCTCAGCCTTTTCAGGGCTACTGAAGAAGGACTATATCTTATTATGTAGGGTGTTAAAGGTTGTCAGCAGGGTAAGCAACGTGCCACTTAACCAGCTTGTTAATATTCTGGTCGACAGGCACTTGAACTCCTGTGAAAAATGGGCTAAATCCATTTTATCTAACTCACATCACCCTCTTCACTCACAACTCTCTCCTTGCATCTCATCAGGCAAAACCAGAAGCCGATATAGAAAACTATATGCTCGCACCAGCAAGTACAAAAATTCAACCAGACCTTACTTGGCTCGTGTTCTGTGTGATAAAGAAAGCATTAGGCGTGACACCTGTAATTCAATAAATAGTCAGTAGCACAACAAGACCTCGTCTTTCTAACTCATATCATTTATAGGTACAACATTTTCTTCCTTTCTTTTCCTCTTCTCTCTCTTTTCTTTCTGTTATGTGCTGCTTTGTTTCTTTCTCTCGCTTACGCCAGTTAATATGACAGCACCTACTTTTCTAACACCTTCAAACACTGTTCAGCTTTGGCTTTGCTACCGACATGCCAATATGTTTTTGTCATAATGAACTTAGATTTCCTTAATCTATGTAGAATTCTATTTATTGATAATGTACTAACTGGATGCAATAATGTAGTAAAAATGCTGAGAATTCCATTCTGTATCACAAGTACTATTTTGGAATAAAGCAAATTATTATTATTATTTCATCACATAAAATACGTGGCAACTATGGTATAGTAGAATTTTTATACTTAGATGTACGTGCATAAATTCTCCTGAAAAGACTTCTTGTTTTACCTGAGGAGACACAAGGCTGGAGCTGCAGGTAGAGTGGGTGCTCAGAGTCTGACGAAATTCCTTTAGCAGATTCGTTGCATGAAATCAAGTGCCAGTCGTCAGTGATGATGTCAACGATATGGCCCGATGGGATACCACTCGTTCTACTAAAAGTCTTAAGAGTTCTACGAAGTATGACATTCCTTTCCTTTTCCTTCACATTCCCCAGTGGAACATAGGGCTTCAAGCTAGTGGCTTGAAGTTTCTGTAGCAGTGCTTATTTTACAGGATGGGGTTGCTAGCCTCATGCCCAACCTTTCCTCTTCATCAGCATTATTTCTAGCTTAGCGAGGTAAAGGAGTGCGTCGGCCGGGGATCGAACCCCGGACCATGTGCATGGTTGGCGAGCGTCCTAACCGCTATACCACCGACGCACAAGAAAGTATGACATAGTCTTTTTTAAGCAATCCAGGAAAGAATAAGGGTGAACAGTAAAGAAGAATAGGTAAAATACATGAGTTGACAAACTGTAAGAGGAGTGGTTGAGTTATGACTGAGTGCTTTAACTTCTTAATGTAAAAAGTTAGACGAAATATTCTTTTAGAAATCTCTAAGACACAGGAAGACCAGGATAGGTCAGAAGAAAGAATTAATCCAAGATACTTAACTTCAGACTGGATTTCTATATCACTTTCATCAGTTTTGCAATGGTCATAGGAACCAACGGCTTCATTTAACTTTCGTTTACATCGGAAACTGAAATTAACAGTCTGACATTTGGAAGGATTTAGTTTAAGACCATTAGACGAAGACCATTTGCCAACTCCTGATAGAAAGCTGTTCATCTTAGTATAGCCTAACTGAAAGTTAACAGGCATTGGGACAGTTACATCATCCGCATACTTAATAAAGTTCATTTCATCAGAGTGAGGCAAGTCGTGCAAGAACAGAGAAAACAGAAAAGGAGAAAGAACAGCACATTTACAACCAAATTTGGGATAATTATTTTCCAATTTAAAATAAAATTCATTTCTACAAAATATTTTTTCAAGATTCGATTTATTTTTCGAATTTGACCACGGATTAAAAATTGATCTGAGGCTCGCTAATGACTTGCTACATGACGGAGTTTCTTGGATTTCTAATGAGAATTCGTGATCAGTGAGGTCCATCTAGTAGGGAATGAGGATGGATTTCTCGCCGATGACATTGACTAGTGGCCTAGCTAAATGCATCACGAATTGGTAGAAGTTAGAATTCAAGAACTGGCCATTGAGTTGGGTCTCAGTGCCTGAGTAGTATCCGAGCTAGCTTGTCTTGTAACCGGAAGGCCCTGGATTCGAACACACTGGCGATGGATGCACACTATCGATGATTCTTAAAACCAAGATGAAACAGCTGTCCATTATTCCTTGCTGCTTTTCAATAGTTCTCTAACTGAAATCAATCCATGCGTAAACTCGAAAAACAAAAAAATGTTTTGTTTATTAAAACAATCTGTCTGTTGTCTAGTGTTCAATAGACAGACATTTACTAATCTTTGATAGTTTTTACTCTACACACATGACATGAATTTCTATCTACAGTTTAATGTATCAATAATAATTGATCTCATTTAAACAACACTTATCAGTGTGAAATTATCAGTAAATGATTAAAACAAGCTACTTTTTATTCTATTAACTGGGCAACGTCATTCATTCAATGTCCAATGTTACAAGGAATTTATATATATGTATACATATACATATATACAATGAAATAATGATCGAACGTGTAATAATATTTTTACATTTATTAGTGTTTACGTATTTATTCAACATAAATTAATTTAACATGTGAGGAATTATAAAACGTATCATCAAAAATGTGATAAAATCACCTCTCTGTCTCTATATAATATAAATAATAAGCACAGTGAATTACGCATATTTTCACGTGTTTCAAGTCATATATAGATGGACGACTAATTCACAATCTGATAAATCTTGAGGATATAAAAATCTGAACGTTTCGATGTGTAAAATTCATTGTTTTAATTGATACTTTTCGTCATAAAAGGTGTTGATTTCGACCTCTGGTACTGTTGTTCTTCGTTGAACATTTTTCTAAATGCTTCACAGCACTACAATACGAGACAAAATAAAATTATTAAAGGCTGCTACTATTATAATTATTGGAGTACTTGAATGTGTTAATAGTACTAGCCTTAGTATTACTGTTATTGATGATGGAGAATTGATTATTACAAAGAATAACATTTATTCAAGGAATCATTTCTCAAACGAACTTGTTGAAGAAGAGCGTATTGAAGAAGAAGAAGAGGAAGTTATTGAATTCCCTGACAAGACAAATGACAAATCACTGATAAATGACTCACTGGAATATGATGATGGCAATAATAACACATCGAATGTCGTTAATCCTGTGAATACATCAACCAATTCTAATACTTCAGCCAGCTCATTCCTCACTTCCCCACCATATGAACAGAGAAGAAGACAGATTAGAAATTATCGTAAATTTTATCGAAAGAATTCAAATTCTTTTGATCTTGGCTTTAGTGGAAGATATTTTCCTACATCTAAAGGCAATTCATTGAATAGCTTCAATTCTTTGCATAGTAATTTTATTGTGATTGTTGCTGGTATGATTATAGATTTTCTTATCATGCATCGCTGATTGTCTAGTACCTCTACTCATAACATACTACTTTAAACTACTTATATCATATATATTTCAACTCATCAACTCAAAAGTGAATACAAAAACATTTCTTGTAAATGATTTATGCAACAACCTGTTATCAAACGATGAAAGCATATTTGAAATCATCTTCTATTTCAAGGTTTCAATGGAATATCATAACTCGCTGAAGATATTTCTTTCAGTTTTCTAGAGTTGAAAGCACACAAACACTCTTACCTCATGTTGACTTCTAAACTACATCTTCCAACAATGATCGGATTACATGCCTTTGACAAATTAAACATCGTTGTAAATTGTTTTCTAATTCCATGTTGTAATGATTAATGACAAATAAGAGGCAGGAGTCTTGATAATGTATTGATTTTCTGTGGACAGAGTTTGAGAGTCAAAAGGTATCCGCGTATATCCTCTATAACAAAATGTATCTCTATTCTCAGCAGACAACTATTCGTGAAAGTTCCTAAAAGAACCAAGCAAAAATTGGGAGTGATCGATGAACTAACTATGCAAAAATTCGAGTAGAAACGAATTTTTTGTCTGACTGAGAAACACATAATCTATAGTCTGTTCAGGTGATTAGGAAGATCCATCGGCCTGATGTTAGGAAAAAGGAGAGAGGCAAGTTATTTTTTCTTTCAAGATTCAGGGTTGTTTGTTCATGTGAAGGTATGGTAATCCTACGAGCTTGCCTTGTAACCCGAAGGTCCTGGGTTCGAACCCTAGCGGCGGGTGTGTAGTGCATACTGAAAAGTCCCAAACTAGGGCAAAACAGCTGTACAGCACTCCCTGCAGGTTTTCCAATGGTTCTCTAACCGATGTCAGCTCATGATGAAATCCTGTAACCAATCAATCAAATCCCCACAAACCAATACTTGAATGCTATATTTGTTGGTGGTGATTAAGAGTTTAATTGACGATTCACACTTTATACTATTTAGGACACAGCGGATGGATGTACTTGTATTCTCACTAAGTGATGAAAGGATGGGTGCAGGACTCTAGTCAAAGCAGGAAAACAGTCATCATTCACTGTGGAATGCAGATACATCCGACTGACTAGTCCTAAATAGAAGATATGCGCATTTTGGATTTCACTGTTAGTCGCCGCCAACATGATCACTTCTTGTTAATTCTTAGAAATCATCGAAGCTTCTCTACTAGTAACTGACATATATACGGAGACCCAGGATTTAGATCAAACATAAACAATAAACGGGAAATGCGACATTATTCTAAAAGCAAGTAAGATAATCCTATAATTCCAATAAAGTAAAATAATACAGTTTACTGTGTCAGGTGAGAGCAAACCAATTAAGTGGTGTTTTACAAGAATGATCAAAGATTGACATCAGACACAGAGCCACTGGAAACCAGAGAACGTCGGGTGGTTGTTTCGTTCTGCTAGACCCAGGATCTTCTGGTTACAAGGCAAGCTCGTATACCATGCAACCACTGGGACCCGACTCAGTGACCAGTCCATGAATTCTAAATTCTACTAATTCGTGGTTTTAGCATCACTAACATCATCCAGTGTCATCCGTGGTGAGTATTCGCCCTCAGTCCCGATCTGATGGTGGATCTCACTGGTCGCAACTTCTCACTAGAACGCAGATCGATTTCGTTCTGCAGCCAGACCCTAGCAACCATCACATCAATTTCCAGCAGTTTGTTTTTAGGGATTTGTTTTGTTTTAAATTTGAACGTATAGTGATATCAGCTATAGAACTGCTGGAAAACCAGTACTGAACTACTGGACAGCTGCTTCGTCAATATAGTCTGAGACTTATCGCCAGTCCTGGGTTCGACACGCGGTGTTTGCGTACTGTCAATGAGTCCCAAACTAGGCGGATGAAACAACTGTCCAGCTCTCCCAGGTTTTCGATTGTTTTCTAACTGATATCAATCCGCGCTCAAACTTGAAACAAATCAACTCCCCACAAACAAACTCTTGAGGAGTAAATGGTTTCTGTCAGGTTTTTATCTATGGTTGAAAGGCTCAAAATACAAACAGTATACACTGCATCTTATTCAGTAGTCTTTGTATTGGAATTTTATACTATCATATGCATCTGAATACATATCAAACCCAAATTTTGGATATTTGGTTAATTAATTAAGCGTCTTTTATATTTTATCGTGAACCACAGTCAGCTAGAGAGACCTTTGAAATGGGAGGGCTTTGGATAGCAGCATGCTCTTCTTGATAAACTATTATTTTGGAGTGCATTTTCTTATGAATTGTAGTTGATAAAGTGTACCCATTTTGAGGATGAACTGGATTTCGATTGATGACTTTTAATGATGTAGTGATGCTACATCACAGATCGGCAGAAAACAGAACCCACAATCAATAGGTCGTATTCTCGATAGGATGGGCTCGTTACCTGGGTCCAACCTCTGTTAGGGTCATGCGCATGCAGTTCTGAAGAATCTAATGATAAAAGAAAGCAGCTAGTCAGTGTATCTTGGCTGCAAGAATTTATTTGATGTAATGAACGCAGGCACGAAGGACTTTCTATCCCGAAACCATACATAAAATAATGAAATGGAAAATATGTCCTTCCATATCGTTCCACAGTGCAGCGAGTCTATCCGTCAAATTCTCAAGAATATACGCAAAATACGCTTCAGTTCAGGCATCCTTCTAATTTATTCCTGGATAAAATACAAAATCGTGTCGACGTATTGTGTATCTTTAGCTAGGATGTTATGGAGAGTGTTGTTAACAAGATGTTCGATTATCTCAATCCTTAAAGAGGTACTACCAGTCCTCTGTAGCCATGAAGGAAAGTGTTCGCTAACCCTTTTGGACAGGGTACACGTTGAACAACCAGTGTACCTGGTTGGCTCTAAGGAAACAGGTGAAACGACATATGCACATAGAAGTGGTCGGTAGCGACATCTTGTCCTTAAGGCTCCCGCAGACTACTCTTACCGTTGTTGTGAAGAATTTTATTCTCAAAGATGCTGAAATTCTTCTCTTAATGATATCGCAAGCAATGTCTTCCTTGAAATCCAGGTTCGTTTAAAGTTTCTTTTTTACTGAAAAGGTAATCTTTCATTCCTCTGGACTTTTGGTCTAATATTCTTTTCAATGAATCTTGGTGGGTATCCATTTTGGATGTAGGTTTCTTTCCAAATGTGTAATTCTGCTTCTAGGGCGTCAGAATTGCATCGGATTGCATCAGATCCGGGTGGTAAGGGATATAATTTAATTTCGTTTTCGTCCAATGGGCACCCGACTGTAGAAACTTTTCAGCTGACCGTCCCAAGTAATTTTTCTATGGAATGACCTTTTTAAGATTCCATTGGATCATCTTGTTATTTCCACATCAAGAAAAGGAATTTTGAAGTAGTTCTCCATTTCTAGAGTGAATTTTATTGCTATATGTATTTCTAGCAATTGATTGGAGTCGTAGCTGTTGTCAGAAATGGGGAAAATGTTATCTATGTACCTTCTATACAGTTGTAAATTGTCAGTGGACGACTTTAATGAACCATTGTCAAGACTAACCATGAAATATGTCGAATTAAAATGCGTGTAGTAAAATGCAGACATGACAGGCCGATGTAAGTCCTCGTTGCGTTGTACTCTTCATGTGAGTTAGGTTATAAGTAAACAAGAATCCGTAAACATTTATCCTGTTATTTTCGACTTTTATTTCTTCTGTGCAGTACGAACTAGGACCAATTCTCTGATATTTTAGCCAGACGTGTTACGAAATGAAAAATTTCAATGTATTCAGGCGTAATATTAGCCGATATATATATAAAGTTTGGACACTGTGATAGTATGTAATTTCATAGCAATTTGTTAATTGGAAATATAACACAGGGGAACAGTATTATGAAATACATTAGTAGCTTGGGGTCATTTAGATTGGTGGAACATGAAATCTAGGAAAATGTAAACTAGCAGACATTAGTAAGATACGACAAAAGTGAGAAACAATCATAAAATAGATTGGGAAAAACCGACATACAGTCTCATGATTTAATGTAACAAGGTGGAGGGAGGAGAGATTGCTAACCGAAGCTTTATAAAACACAAAATAAGTGAGCAAAGAATATCCTTTCCGATAATTTCCTCTTCTGGCTCTACAATTATACGCATATATTTATATACACAGAATATTCTAGAATAGTAGTCAATAACAATATTAGTGTTGCTTTAAGTAATATCGACTTGTTAAGTAAGATCACAATGGAATAACAGTTCATTAAAGATGCTTAAATTATAATAACAATAATAAAGATATAATAGCAAATAGAATATCAAACAAAATTAGGAAAATTCCACAAAAAATTCGAGGATCATTCAAACCTAGATGGCCAAGGTAAGGACAATGTCTGAACTAGCTTCTTTTGGACGCATAAATTGGGCTGCTTAATGTAGATACCAATGGCCAGCCTCAGCAATGCTTAGCAACTGAACTGTAAAGGCAAAATTGAGATTTGTTGGTGTGCGGTGAATGACTTTGAAAGCTGCCTCGTCGACACCAATCTTCTGTTCTGTATCTACAAGATGAGACACAATAGCGCTACGAATAGATTCTGTATTTTCATTACTTAACCACTATGCAAGGTGATGTTCGGAAATCCGATGAGAAACCCGCCTAATTGTACGCTTATGGAACTAACTGGCTCACTCCAAAGGAGTAGTTAAATTGGTAGATACACATGGAAGAGGCGAAATTAGGCAGTTTGTCTTTTACTCCCGAATGCAAAAGAGGAGTGATTTGGAAGACACAGCGTAATTCAGCAGCAGGCAATGCTCTTTTTTACCTCATTTTTAAGGCGTTGCGTTGTTTATCGTGTCAGCTGAGAATACGTGCAACAGGAATAATTCAACACCTATTCCAGACATTTGGAAGATTCAGCTTTTTACTTCCTTTGTGATAAATGTGAAGAAGGAACAGGAGCTATAGAAATCAAGTTTAGAAGTTGTGTGCACTTTGCATCTCTGTCCTTTTCATGTTGGCATTTAAAGTGTCAAGTATACCAAATATTGTGACTTAGAAAACATGAGTGAATTTCATTTGAAACTGTAATGAACTGTA